TTTTTTTTTTTTTAGTTAGTAGTACAGCAAATACAGGTGTTACTAAAAAGTAAAACTCGGTTTCTCTTACAGTTTGCTGGTGCTGTTTTGTAGTGTTCTTTACGAAGGCTGAATTTATACTAGCACTGATCAATTTTAAAGAGAACCAGTCTCATGTAGTTTAATATTGGGTTAACGATTAGACGGCGAAGCCAAATTTTACAATAAGGTTAAAGCATTCAGGATGTGTTGATTTACATATTTGGGTTTCATCTGTTTACGAAGAATGTTTAACCGTCTGAGAAAGTCAAGGATCTTTGTGTCATAACAACAATAAAGCTAATTTTGCTGATTTTAAACGCCAAGTCCGAAAAATATTAATTTGTTTTATTGTATAGGTATTAAGGTGTCCAGTTTGCCGAATCGAGTTGGACGATGCTGATTCATTACTTAAAACTGATGACTACAGTATTGGTGGTAGTGATGTTGATGAAATTCCAGAATTTTCCTTTGACTGGGATAACTGGCGTAGGCTGCAACACGAACTTGAGACTATTTATGAACGACAGCGTCTCAAGGGTGGTATTATTGATGTGGAAGAAGAAAAAAACAGGAATTTAGTTACAGAAGATACTGTACGTGTTTACTTGATACTACATATTTCATTTTTTTTTTCAAGCACCTGATTTTTACGTTGTAGGTCGTAGCAGTGGCAAGAAGACTGACCGCACCGTTGTTGGCAGAAACAGGTGATCAATCAAAAGAGATTCCAGCATCGTGTCGTCGGGGAATGCTAAGTAATGAGAGAAGATTTAGAGGAAGTCGAGCAAGGACCAGCAGTACAAGGAAATTTAGTAGTGATTTCAAAAACGAACGGGCAAATAGCAGATATGATTTTAGTGAACCAAATAGAGGCTACAGAAGAGGTCGGTATAGAAATCCTAATTTGTCGCATTTTAAACGGAATGATAGGTCATGTAAATACCCTTTATCGGATGTCCCCAACGTTCATCCTTCCTCAAGTCCATCTTTTGAGTCAACAACCGAAATTAATAGCAGTGAACAAAGTTAGCTGTGGCTTTATTATCATTACTTTGCTAAATTATGGTATCTTTACAATGAAACTGGTGTACTATTGATATTAGTGACATTAGGGCAACTGTTAAGCTTACCATAATACTGCTGCAAGATTTTTTAATTCCAATTTCAGTTTTCACTATCCCTTTTTTCTATGCATTGAATATTTTCAAAAGAATATTTGAATAAATTAAGGCTGTATCAGTTTGTAGATAGTGTTTGCCTGCGTTTTATTGCTCGATTTATACTCATGTATATAACGGTTTATTTGTTTGTGTCTTTTAAGGAGTAGGGGGCGGGGACGTAAAAAAGAGGAGAATGATCAGTTGTTCTTTTCCTTGTTTCAGTGGTTTGGTAACTGAGATGTATAAGGGAGAGCGAAGTAGGCGTAAAACTTCTTTGAACGATTTTTTTCTGTACCAGTTAAGCGTTATCACAGAGTGTGTCGTCTCTTTTCATAAAGTCAATTAACTTATTATTGTAGGAAGCTATAAGCAGTTCTTCCTTTAAATTTTTTAATTTATAATTGGTTAGTGTTTGTTCATTGATTCACAGCAGATCAATTAAGGTGATGGACGAATAAAAGTTTGTTCTTCCGTTAGTTCTGGAAGTTTTCGCAGTTGTTATCTATTTCTAATACCTGGGGCGTTTCTCTAATAACGATCCTTTCTCTTGAATTTTAATGTTGTTGGCTTTTGTGCTTTATGCTTAGCGTATGTGAAACTTTCTGTTGGATTTTTGTGCATTAGCTGTGTAAGAGGATTATTGTTCTGTTTATAAGTCATAGAGTGCTATTGGTTTTTGCGGTTTTGGTGCTTTGGTTGGCATCAATTGTTTAAAAAAGCTTTTGATTTCTTCTGTACGGTGTGTTAATTGATATTTTAAACATTTCTTTCTAACTTGGGATGCATCGAGAAGACTCGAAATGAGCTTGAGCTGCAATTATTGGAATCCAGGGTTTTGTACTGACCGCTCAGGAAACTAGAGACTTATAAAATTGTTTTCAATGAAAAACAGCTGTGGATGTGAGAGGACAAGGACAAATAAGATGGAATTGGGCCACCTTTATTTCTTGAAGTCTGGGGTACATCAAAATTCAATTCTGCTGTAAACCTTACAGTTCAGACGTAATTAATTCTTAATTTTTGTTTGTTCTTCTGTTGCACAAAATTCGGCTGGCATATCATCAGTTTTAATTGTTTTCACTTATTAGAATTTTATAGGCTACTTGTGTTTTTGGCTTCTTTTCTTTGAAAATCTTTGTTTGGAAATATTTTAGCACCAGGTGAGTTAGGGAGTTGGGACAGTACAATTTCAGTTTTCAGGCTGCTGTGACTTGCTTTTTAATCAGTGTTTTCTAGTAGGGTGATAAATATTATGTGCCGCGTACGTTTTAAAATATCATTCGGTCGTATTAACTTTGACATGTAAGAAATCCGCACCTTGAAAAATTTTTTTCAGACTTTGGTTTTGAATATTATTTGATTTCAGAATATTTAAATATACAAACTAAGTTTCTGATGTGCGGACGGTGACAATTCGTATTCAGTAAAACTAGAAGTATATTTTTTGAGAGAAAAATCCTAATTGATGAAATTTCTGGGTTCCTTCAAAAGTTGAATATATTAAGCATGATTTGTTGTTTTTCTATGTACTAAACGGAGCTTATCTGCAGGACAGTGAAGGACTTTACTTTGGTAGGTTATAGGTTGTGGCTTGTGTGGCTTAGGACCCACTGTTACTTTTTGTCGGTAAAGAAGTGTTTTAGCGATAGCTTCAGTTCGTAACAGTACAGTGGACGGTACCCCCTAGATAAAGCGAAATATTAGGTGTTTCTAGCTTAGTTCAACAGCTAGGCTTGATTTTCTTTTTTTTTTTACTAGCAAGTCAGTTCCTACGTGAGAGTGGTACTCTTTCTTACAAGAGGGTCCTTACCGTTCTAAAGCAGCAAAGAAGCACATGTCTACACAGTATGAAATTGTTGCACATTACTGGATTTATGGGATGTCTACATTTACATTTTCTTTACTCTTTTGTAAATGATCTAGGACTATCCTTTTGTTAGTAACTGGCTTCTGAAACATCTCATTTGTCGTTTCTTTCGAGCCATATACTGTACACAAATTTCTTCGTTGTCACTTTATCCAGCGTTGGAAGTCAGTGTACCAGCGATTTGCTTCTAAGGCTTTGATTGCCGCCTACATAAATCCTGAACCAAAACCGGTTGGAACTTTTCTCATTATATTTTAAACAAATTACCAATTACAGCGGCAAATTTCTTATTTGTGAAGTGATATGCTAGCCTTCATAATTGGTTTTGATTTGCATTTATGACTCTCAAGGAAGGGAGAAAAGGAAATAAATTTTAGAGCCTCTTGAAACAGTGAGGACCGGTTTGAAAGTGAAGTTTGAATAAGAAATATAAGCTTTCGACAGTACAAAGTTCCACTCTCCAGAACCGTTATGCTTTCAAAAAATCTTGCAAGTTTCTTGATAATCATAATGTATTAATTTTATTGAAG